ATATAGCACATGATATGCTTAATTACACATTTACTGTTTGTCTCCTCCAACTAGAAGAAATGCTCCAAAAGGAGAGACTGTTTTGTCTGTTTTGTTCACTGAAAAATTCATGAGCACCTAGAACACTGCACATAGTATTCCAAATACTTGTGGAATGAACACATTGTAGGGGAGCAGAATTTGCTACCCCAAGATGTCTCTTTGGCTTGATTATTTTTAAGAACAAAAGACTTTGGAAGGAACTTTGATCTTCCCTCTAACTACCTAAAAGGATTTAAGATAGAAGGCGTGTTCCAGGAAGGAGCTATCATCATAGTTAACTAGAGTATAATATGAACTAGGTGTGGCAGGCAGGGAGGAAGCTAGCAAGGGCCATTTGATCAAAGTCCTCTCCATGTCCCATTGTCTCTGCATGGCATAGCAAACATCTGTTTACCAAACATTTGCTTTTCCATCTCCATGTGAATTGCCTTCCTCCTCTTTGAAATCCCAAATAACTATGCCCAAATCTTTCTTTGTCTTTAGCTGAAGATGGTATCTAAGATGGTGGCTTTGGCCATCTTAGGGAGTTACTCAGTTGTCCTGGGTTTCTCCCATGTATACATGTTATTAAACCTTGATTTTTCTCCTGTTACTCTGTCTCCTGTCAATTTAATTCTTAGACGAGCCAGAAGAACTTAGAAGAAGAGAAGAGTATTTCTTCCTCCCCTACAGCATGAATGAATGAGTTTCAGGCTTCCCACTGTGTTGACTTGGAGATATGTTTAGGACTTGGAATTCTGGAGAGTGATGATAGTGCTTTTGGTTTCACTGATGTATAGGGAAGGGTGAAGCAGAGACTGACTGCCCGGAACAAGCCTGCACTGCAGCCCACTGGCAAAGTACTCCAGGGCTATCTTTTAAAGCTAGTAGAGAAGAAAGGAAGGAAGAAAAAAAAAAAAAATAGAAAAGAAAGGAATCCTGCCTGATTAGGATACTCACCAACTTGCAGGCACACACCTCACTCCTTGAGGGCTGAAGTAGCTCCAATGTCTCTTTGTTTTCAGGGAGGGTGTAGTTCCATATTGTCTCAAAGATGAGGAGACTTGGGCTAGGCTTAGAGGCTATGAATGAGTCTGTCTGATATCAAGCTCTATCCACCTGCATACCTTTTGCCTGGAGAAATGTGAGGAAGATGCAATGGAGCAGGTTGCCACCAGAGGGCAATGTGGGACCTCTTTATGATGAGCTTTCCTGTATAGGATTTCAAAAAGTTGGGGACAAAAGCTTTGAAAAACCTAAACATAGAGGACTATTTTGCTGATGTCATTAATGACTTTGCTTCACTTTGAAAATACATAGGATAAGAAGGAATGTTGTAAATTGCAGTTGGAAAGGCAAAGGATACTAATAGGAATTTCACACAAAAAGATACACAATATCCCTTAAATGTTGTGAAAAGATATTCAACTTATCCCATAAAAATGCTAATCAAAATGACACTGATATACAATTTTCACCTATCAGATTTGCAAGAATCCAAAAGTCTGCCCACCCAAGCTGTTCCTTAGATTGCTGGTGGGAGCATAAATTGGTTTAATTCTCAAGGAGGGAAATTTGGCAATATATTTGAAAGTTACTCATGATTTTACCTTTGACCTATCTGTAGATGACCCTCTTAGATACTAATTTACATACTTTTTTTTTTTACTATAGCCTTTTAAATAAAAGGAAAATATTAGAAAAAATCAGAGAGGAGTGTGGTTAAATAACTTATGGTATATCAAAACAATAGAAAAACCTGAAGCTGGATATAATGAAGATGCTGTTTATTTACTGATATAAAAAGCCCTGTAAGTTACTTTAGGTGGGGGGAAAAAAAAAGTAAGGCCCATAATAGTAGGTAAAGCATGCAATCTTAATTTTTTTTCTTTTTTTTAGGAAAGGGGTAAAGAATAAGAATATAGTACATGTTTGTATTCGCAGAAAGAAAGTTTGCAAGGATGCACAGATGCCAATAAAGATGGTTTTCCTGAGGGTGGCAAATGGAGAGGATGGAAGTGAGGGTGGGATTAAGATTTTGTTCTATGTAACATTTTGTGAGGCTTAGATTCATGCAAAGTCATTACCTATCCACAAAATGATACTTTTAAATGATTACAGGGGAAAAAACTTTTGGTAAGTCATTGAGAAAATGCTGGCAATTCAACTGGTGGTTTTTCACTCAAATGCATCAGCTACATAGAGGTATTTGTTGTCATAGTTACCTAGTTTGTAAATTTCTAACTTTCTGCTTGAAATCAATTTGTACTAGTGCTTCTGGCAGCCTTGAAATGAATGAAGTGAATGTTCCAGCAAGGCTGTTCCAGCAAGGCTGTCCCAGCGAGAAGTTGCAAAGTTGCTTGGATTTTCCTTTGGGATCTTTTCAAAGATTTCTTGACTTTCTATGATAGTCTTACTCCCCACTATGTGCCATCTGTCACAGGTTGATTTTCCCTTTGGGCCAAGAGGAAAGAAATTACTGAATCTTTTCCTTACATTGTAACAGACATATTCTCCTAAAACACGTTTATCCGCTAAATGTTAATACCGTTGCACTGAACCACCTTCTGAGGATACAAATCTGTATGACATAGCCTTTCCCTTCCCTCAAGGAGCTCACAGTCAAATAGGAAGACATCATGGTTTAATTGCTTTGCAGAGTGATGTGTGCCGTGGAAAAACAAACAGGCAGTGATCCCCTTTTCCTGAGAGAACCTTCACGTTTCATGCATTATAAAATATGAGTAGAAATTCTCTAGGCAAATGGGGGTAAAAAAGAATTATTCTTCAGCAGAAGGAGCAACACTTATGAAAGTCAGATGTGAAAATGCATGGTCTATTAGAAAAAGTGCTAAAGAGTTAGGCGTGACTATAGTATGTTTGTATTTTTTGCATTTTGAGAGGCGTTATGCCACTATTCTAATATTCAGCACTCAGTAGTAGTGTGTGCTGTGGGTACATTAGGCCATTTAATCCTAACAACAGAACTCTGAAGTACGTATTATCTGCCTTGTACGGATAGTGATACTGAGAATTCTAAAAGTTAGGTAACTTATCTAGGGTCACACATGTAAGTAGAACAAGGACTCAAACCTATATGTGATTCCAAATACAGTGCTCCAAAGTATGGATAAGAGTGTTTGGGTGTCTCCTATTCTTCCAGATTCACTCTGTTTATTTCTACTTCCTACTCTCTAACCCTGGAGACTAGCCTGGATGGAATTCATCAACAGGCTCCCATGCACTTGGAATTCCAATGTGATTTGTCCCACAGGTAGTGTAGGAAGGAAACCAGAGGGGAGGGAGAAGATTAGTGTTTTATCTTTGGGCTCCCTCCCCTGCCGTCATCTTGTGCTACCTGAGACTCCCAGGCAAAGATCACTGCGGGAGGCCCTCCCTGTACATCTGCCTCCTGATTGCAGGAACTGCTCCCTGTCCTCGTCCCTGCAAGCCTAGGGGTGAGAACAACTCCACCACACCTTCCCTTGAGGTTTCCCTACATGCGGCTCACAGTATTGTAAATAGGTTGTTTATTAAACTCTCCTCTAATTTGAAAGTGCCATCTGTTTTCAGTTGGTACCAGATCAACATTTAAGTTGTTATCTAAGTGAGAGCTGATGTGGTAGTAGCCATAGAAATGAAAGGGATAAAGTAGATTCCAGAATGATATGAGAGAAATCTGAATATTTGAGAGAGGGCTACAAGCAAGAACAATAGTTACTCCTAAGATTTGACTTCTATAAAGGAATTCAAGTGGGCCTTTCTTAAACCTTTCATGTTACACTACGTAGAAAAAACTCTTAACCTACGTAACAGCAAGATGGGATGAAATAAGAGATTCCTAACTTGATACCAGAAGAAGATTAGGGTTTAGGGAGATAGATTTCACTGCAAGTATTGAAGTACATGGAGCCACATTATTCATCCACAGAGGGTGGTGCCAGGCATCAAGTGGTGATTCAAAGAAGCGATGAGGGCAGAGTAGGTACAACAAGAGGTAAGAGGGTACCCTCAGGTGGATCAAACAGTAGAGTGTATACCCTGGTTCTGAAGATTCAGGTAGGCGGTGAGCATCAGCAGGAAGGTCAGCAAATAGCACGGTCTCCACTATGAGATTCAGTTCAATCTCCAAGTCCTGGGAGAGGACAAAGGCAAAGGCAACATAACTGCTGGCTGGACCAACTGCAACAAGATTGGCATACTACTACATCTCCTGCATGTTTCCTTAATTTACTTAACCCAACTGTGCCCCAGACTGGGGCAAGGCTGAGAGCGCTGAAGGTCAAGTGGCTCTAATTGCGGGAAGTGAAAGGCCTAACACATCCCGTTGGTACACAGACAGCCCCGCTCTGAGGTTGTCACTAAGCCTACAATTTCATCATGTGGTCAAAATGTCTATTTTCATCTGATGTCCCAAAACATCAACACTCTGGTGCTTTAGGGAAAACGTCAGTGTTCCTCATCCGTGTCTCCCAAGTTGAAGAATATAAAATAGGGCAGGCGTAAAACTAACGGAATTGCATTATTAAATTCTGTTTCCTACCGAGATTCCTTTCCATGGTGAAAAAAAAAAGAAAATTCAGAAAATATTTTCAACATTACCCTCTTTCTGGGGTTTAAAAAAGTATTTTGATTTAGTATCCAAGAACAGTATATAGAAAATGGCTTCTTAAATTAACACATCAATTACTTAAACCAAATTGATGGGAATAATTACATTGAAATAATAAACTTTTAGAATGAACATTTTATAGAAGATAAAATATAGATGGGGCTTTTGACTTATACAGGTGCTATATTAATCACTGAGGTGTAAATTATAGAGGTGAAGAGTTGACGCTTCTTTGTGTTGAGCATTCTGATAAGCGAGTGTCTAATGTGACAGGAAAAGATAACATAATGAATATCTTGTTATGCTTGAAGGAATGTGAAAAAAAAAAATGACTGAGGCTGTATTTTGTTCCAGGTGGGAATAAAAAGCAGGCAGTTCCTGGCTGTGATACTCCAGTTGAGGGTGTCTGACTGACAGCATGTTGGCACCAGCATTGAAGGAATTGATGGGCTTCGGCTCCTGGTGAGTTCAGTTCTCCGAGACACAGTATGTGCATTTTTCCAACTCTTACCCACAGAGCTCCTGAAGTAATTCCATCAAGCCTCCTACCCTTTGAAAATACTGGGCCACTGCATTTCTTTAAAAGATGATAGTTTTAAAATTCTATAATGCATATTGGTTTTCTTAACTTTAAGAGATAGAACACGTAACTATAAACGGGTTTCCTTCTGAATCGAGTGTCAAAATGCCTGAACAACAAGTAGGGTGAAAGATGAATTTCGTACAGTATTTAGGGGTAAGAAGGAAAGGCTATTTCTAGAAGCGACCAAGACCGGGAACCCAGAGTTATTGAGCATTTCACACTGACACACTGTTCTATAGTCTTCTTAACTGTAGACATGTAATGGCCAAATTACCTTTGAGGACTCAAAATTTTATTACTTCAGAGTCAGGCAACTAGAGCAGGCAGATAGTCCAATAACTCCAAAGCCTCCTTGATTTCTGGTTTTCCAATTACAGGAGATCAAAACTAAGGGTCAAATATACCCTTTTGCTGCACTGATTCCAATTGTGACCCTCCTTGGGTCTGTACCTTCATGAATCCATAAGCCAGAATGTATGCATCACTTAGAGAAATTAGTATGAAACTTGTGTGGGCAAAATAGAGTAACAGAGTATAGGTTTAAGGAATGGAAGATATATGATTTTTTTAAAAATAATTTTTTATAATTTGTCAGACCTACATACTAGGCCTACACATATCTTATTGTAATTCACATAGAATCTCTGCCTGTCACAGATTCAAAGATTAATAAAGAAGATATACTGATCAAGATTACTGGGGCAAGTGCTATAAAGAAGATACAAGGAACGTGCAATAAGCGTTTAGTCTATTTATCAACTGCCTTAATAATTCCTCCGTTTGACAAAGCAATTCTATTATCTAGTGATTTAATATAAGAAAAGTATTAGGAATGTCTGAAAGGATTTAAACTAAAGGATGTTTCTCATAGTCTGTTTTAATAGCAGTGAAAATGATCAACAGCCCAAATATTTAATTATGTAGAACTTCTACAATAAACATTTTTTTAAATAGTGAAATCCTATAGAACTATTAAATGTTTTAGAGCAATCCTTATAACATGGAAAAGGAGCAGATATATTCTTAAATTTTAAAAAGCAGGTTGAAAGTGTCTTTATGGGATAACATTGGTGTGTTTATGGAGAAAAAATATATAGAAGGAAAGAGACCTATATGATAAAATGATTTTTATTTTATTTAACTTTTTTTTATATTTTTCACAATGGATATTTTTTCTAGAATCAGGAAAAAAACACCTTAATTTTGAAAATTAGGTCATGGAAATTTTTGCATAGAAAAAAAATAGTATTGTATAAGAATAAAAAGTTCATGAAAAAATAGTCACCATATTTTCCAGTGGCGTTAAAAATCAGGTTAAAAAGCACAATTGCAATAAAATCCTGTATTTGTATAAAATTAAACTTTAAAAAGTCATATCTATAAAGGTTATTAGCTTATCATAAAAAAAAAATAAAACTAATTTGTTTAAGTAAATGAGAGTTTGGGAGAGTGAAGACAATAATTTCTATTTAGTAAATGCGAAAAGTCTCCAAAGAAGGGATTAAATTTGAGTAGGGCCTTGAAGGTTAAACATACAAAAATGTGCTTTCATTAGCAGTGATAGTTAAATTTGACCTGTTCAAATGGATAAATGTACATATTATGCTCACATATATTCCACTCTTCATTTTGTAGAAAATTATAGCATAAACGATATACATTGCATAAATTTGAGTATTAATATTTCAAGGTTAGACAGAATAATCAATTTATACTAAATGCTGTCTTTTATCATACACTTAAACTTTGTAAATACTGCTGAATTTTTAACAAAAATTACACCATTATGTAAGTAATCACAATAAGAGTATATTCATCAAATCTTTGAAAGTTATGTGTGTTTCATTACCATATTTTTGTGCAATTCTTTATCAGACTTTAGTGATTCATGAATAAGTTGCACATTTATTTATATAAAAATAAACCTAGAAGAAATAACTCTAATTTCTTATATGAATATCTCATTTTAAAAATAAACTTTGTAAAGAATATTGGTGGGCCAGCCTCGTGGCTTAGCCATTAAGTGCGTGCGCTCTGCTATTGGCGGCCCAGGTTCGGATCCCGGGCATGCACTGATGCACCGCTTGTCCGGCCATGCTGAGGCCACATCCCACGTACAGAAACTAGAAGGATGTGCAACTATGACACACAACTATCTACTGGGGCTTTGGGGACAAAAAATAGGAGGAGGATTGGCAATAGATGTTAGCTCAGAGCCGGTCTTTCTCAGCAAAAAGAGGAAGATTAGCATGGATGTTAGCTCAGGGTTGATCTTCCTCACACACACAAAAAAGAATATTGGTAATGTTCTTTCACAGACTTCTCTGTTCCTGTCTTCCCTTAGCCTGTAGTTTCCAAATATATTCTTTGCCCTTTTAATTCTTACTGCATCTTCTGCTAAGATGATCACAATGACACCCATGGCTTCAATATGCCCAAATTTATAACTTTAAACCCACACTCTAATTGCCCAGTAGATCAATGTGCCTAATGAACCACAGCTATCATTCTTACCTAGGCCATATTTACTGCCCTTTTCCTTCCAATTCCTCTTTAATGGGGGTCTCTTCTTTCCACCTTCCCCAATATCAAATCTGAAAAAGCAAAATCCTACTGGATAAGGAGGGGTGTATGTGAGCGGCTGCCCCCAGATAGACTGAGTAGGTCTGAATTATCATTAATGGGTGGAATTTCTATTCTAGCTCTAAACGTTTAAAAATATGATCTAAGCAATGTTCGTTAATTTTATTAATATAATAATGTATTAAAATTTTTCTCCCTTTTTATATCATCAGTGAATTTACTCTTGGTAATTCCTCATCATTCTCTTTTCTATGCTTCTTCCCCCCAACATACACTTTTTAAATGAACTAACATTAAGTGGAAACTAGAAGAATGTCATAAAAAATATGTACAGTGGTAGTTTAGAGTTGCCAACATAAGTGCCGGGGACAGATCTGGCATTGGTTGACCTGGGCTCCAGTATCTACTCTGCCATGAATGAGTTATGCAATCCACAACGTACCATTCTCTTCAAGCCTCTGAGGCTTAAATTACTTGTTTGTTCTAAGTGGACACCTTTCCGTAAGTCAACAAATAAAATGTTTGTGGAAGCCTTTTATAAATGTTTAAGCACTTTGCAGGTGTGAGCATTGCTTGCTATTACAAACCACAAAGAATAGATACAACTTACCAAAACACACACATGTGTGTATATGTATGCGTATAGATAGAGAGGTTACTTCCACTGAATTAGATATTAAACGAACTCTGCTCTTTATTTTCTTCACCTGACACAAGGTCAAGTCTCACTAGTTAAAGTTTGCAAATAAAAAAAATTAAGATCAGTTAATATCAGCTCTAATGATGCTAGTAGACAAATTTGTCCAAGTTATTCTTTTTTTCACTTTACAGAATCATGTTTTTGTTGTTTTGTTTTTGTTTGTAGTAAAATATTTTCTTGCTTTTGAGTAAAGTATCTTCAAGCAGGTATTTGCAGAGAAAGTTCTCTCTTTTTTGCTTTAATGTATGTGATCTGCCCATCAAATCAGCATGGTTCAATAATTCAGGACGTGTTCACTCTGCTCTTTGATCACAAAGGAATTCAGCTCTGGACCAAATCCCAAGATAATGGGTTTGGCAACAGAAAGCAACTTCCTTTTATGAAATACACTCAAAAAATAAATGTGGTATGAAAATTAAAGACACAGAATATTAAGATAGCATTGATTCATTGATCTGGAAATTACTTCCAACCATATAATATTAATAGCACTCCATGACCTGAAATTTAAACTTCAGCTAACATCACGCAACAACAAAAATTATTTAATATTGCCAACAACTATAGTAATATTGAATTTTAACAGTTGAAATTACATTTGCTGAAGTACTATAATGAAGATATTTTGCAAACTACAATAAAATATTAGAAATTATCAGACAATGAGAATTTGTTCATACGAATCAATATTCAGTAGTCATTCAAGAATATATGCCTAGAATAAATCAAAATATATTTCACATTGGTCGTACTGAAACCACTTAGAGTTTCAAATAATGTGTGGTAAAATCTAGGCGAGTTTGATCACCACAAACCAAAACTCTCAACTGGATATATTTCTGTCCTTTATTCACATATCTCAAGAAAATGCAAGTGATATGAAAGTAGACCAGAGCTAAAAACAGAGACTGAGTCTCAAAATGATGGTTCTTAATAATAAAAGTTGCAATCATTCAAAAAATATTAAGCATCTCCTATGTATGATGTATCTCGCTAGACCTGTGGGGAATATAGATATTAAGCTTTTCTGCCTTTAATTAATTATCATCCACTAGAGGAGACAAGCTATATATATATAGATACTACTAAATGGTATGTTACTTTGCAAATGCTTATATCATATATTCAGATAACTATTTATTAGTGTTAGATGCCAAAAGATAAGGAGAGATCAAGTGCCGATTGCTTCCCAAGAAGAGTGACAACTTTTGACTTGTGTTAAAGCAACTGAGATGATGTGTTGAAGTTGAATTTGATAAAAATCAAATAGGGATGATGTGAAGGCTGGGAATGGCATTGTAGCTGGAGGGAACAATATGTATACGAACAATGATTTCAAAGGTAGAGGACACAGAAAAGGAGAGCTAGCCATCTTTTTTTGTAATAAAGGGAAGTAGGACTGAAAAGGATGGAGATGAATTTTAGTGAATGTTAGACAAATGTTAGCCCAAGGAGTTTATTCTTTGTTTTATGATCCTCCTTCAGTGATCTGTGGACTTTACATTGTGTCGGACCCCAATAACATCACAAGTACAAACGCTTTTAAACATCTTTTTTAACTTAATATGGAGATATTCAATATCTTATACTGATGGA